GGAACTTCATGGGGAATTATTTTGTTGGGCCAAGAACTAACTGTTCCTTTCAAAAGTGCAGATTCTCTGAAATTGAATTTGCTTAAAGTGAGGTGTGTGCATGCTGTCCCCTAACCCCCTGCTCTCAGTTCCACGATAAATGCCCGCTCTGAGGAGCAGAAGCCTCCAACCCCTCTGCATACCACCGAGCCCTCACCTCCAGCAAAAGCAAGAAGCTTTCACAGAAAAAAGAGGTGAATCATCCACGTACCCCTATCTCTGGACCCTGACAGACTTGATTGGAGTTATGCGGCACTCTGTGGTTTACCTTAGGGAGAGCTTTCCCCTTGTTGGTTTCTGCGTCTTCTGAATCCCAGTAAGAATTAATTTAAGCATTTATCTGGTCTAGGCCTGAGCACTTAGGGAAGTACAGTCTTTCCAGAGTCCTTCTGGCTCTGTCTCTTCCCAGAGAACCTGTTTCTAGTAAGGTCAAAATGCTAAGTAGAAGTGTCTACCTCAGGGCCTACACTGAACAAGGAAAGGCATGGGCAGAAGAAGGGATGATAGCCATCTGGGTTCATTTCAAGACCATACACACTTGGGTCATTTTGACCAAACATGCCCTTGGGAAATCCTACCTCCTCCAGGAAGCCTTCCAGAGTAATTCAGAGAAGAGCCAAAAGCTCGGTTTTGTTTTATCCAGCTAGAACCCTTACAGGTAACCGCACCCCTGCCCCATCTCCTTTACAGTTACTACACGTACTTGATGAATAAATGAATGAATGAATTCTTAAGAAGTGTATTGACACGTACAACGTGCCAGGCATATTCTGGGAGATACACTCTCAAATCAGACATGGACCCTGGCCTCGTAGAACTGAATCCAATGAATGATGTGGATACATCCTAAATGCCTCAGTGTTCATTCGTTGGTGGTGACTTCCGCTCCACTGTGTCCCTGCCCTCTAAGTTGGTGTCCACATGTACCCATCCATTAAGCACATTTGTAAAGTGCCTCCTCTGTGCCCAGAAGGTAGAGACTCAGAGATGAAAGAGCTGGTTCCTGCGCTGAAGGATTTCACAGACCGTTGGAGGCAGCCGAATGGCCGGGAGGGGGAAGGAGTGACCAGAAACACCACCTAAGTTTACATCCCTGCGTGAGAGGTCCAGTGGTGAGGCTCAGCAGGGTGGTTCTGAGAGGGGATCCAGATCCTTATCTGGAACGCTGAGAAGCAGTGAGGCAAGTGAAAGGAGCCCTGACTTCCAGGTCTAGGCGGGCCCCTTGCTTGTCACCTGAGATGAAACAGACTGTGCCTTGCCTGAGGTCAGGATCACAAGGAGATCAAGTGGGTCAAGTGCAAAGGACCGTTCAAATGTTAATAAAGGAATTTTCTTTTTTTAAAGATTTTATTTATTTGTCAGAGAGAGAGTGAGCGAGCACAAGCAGGGGGGCGTCAGGCAGAGGGAGGAGACTCCCCACTGAGCAAGGAGCCCGATGCGGAACTCAGTCCCAGGACCCTGGGATCATGACCTGAGCCGAAGGCAGACGCTTAACCAACTGAGCCACCCAGGTGCCCCAATAAAGTAATTTCTTGAAGACAGAGCCATTTCTGTCCTTAGCAATATTGTTGGCCTGGCTTATGTGGATAAGAGACGTATTTCTCCAGTCCCTTTTACACTTCAGAGCAGTATCTTTGCCCAGCACCTTGATTTCTTTTCTACTAAGGACAGGAGAACCTCAACTAGATCTCCTCTGCCCTGTGTTCTGGAGCCTGGACACTTAGGGAGAGCCTAGCAGAGGCCCACAGCCCCGAGTAGGGGCCAGAAGTTGAATCTAAGCTGTGAACCTCAGGACTCAGCTACACAGAGGGGAATAGCTTGTTCCTGGAATGGAATTCTCAGCACACCAAATCCTAGCTGGGAGGGGAGACGGGGCTGGAGAACTTCCAAGTTTGCCTGGAGGGCTTTGGGAATGTTGCATTTGTTCCAGCAAGGTAATTGTAACTGGAATGCAGCACAATCAAATGTGCTAGAAAACACTCCGAAACACTCCTGTTGGCTTATGAATGCCTTTCTCAAGACTATAACAACTCTGGGGAATTTTTAGAAGCTTTAAAAAAATCATTCTGTTATTTTTGCCTTGAGTACGATAAAGTCCTGATTTTTAGTCCATATTTTTATTTTTAGATTAGCACCTGACTAAATATAATAATGCAAATTTAACACTCTATGTAATAACATTCATAAAAAGAAACAGATGCCAATTTCCCCATTTAACAAATGATGCAAGGTGTTAAACTGATTTAAAATAACTGTCTAAAAATGATTTGTCGATGACTAAATTTTGAAATAACATACTGTGTTATGTTGGGGAGCCATAGGAATATTAAGACAGACTGAGATTTCACTACATATTGAATAATGGCATCAAAAATAGACAAACTATTTTCATTACCTACTACTAGAATTCTTGAGATTCCCCCCACCCAAGTTATTTTGATACATTTTAGTGTTTTGTTTCTAAATGGCAAGAAAAGAGGAGGTTTTAGGTTGCTATTTGCAAGCATGTCTCAGAAAACAAAGCCCACGGACACGGAGAGCATTTTCATCAGATGAAAAGTCAAATGAGATATATTGCCACTATCAATTTTTAACATTACTTTTCAAGGTATTAGAGAGTCTTGGTTGCTGTGGAAGAATTTTAATCAAATGAAAATAACAAGGAGCTGAATAAAGAGCATCCTTAGGCTAATTTGCAGAATTATCCTCATTTATGTACTGTCATTAACTTATTGCATATTAACACTAATCTTCCATAAATACCTTCCATTTAAGCAATTCTTCATTGTGAAATTAAATAAACGGTATATGACCATGTATAAAACAAATTACAAATTTCATGTCAATGTGTGGGGCTTGATTAGGTCCTCAGTCAAAGAAATAAAACTGCAAAAAATCACTTGTTGGGAATAGCTAGTGAAATTTGAATATGGGACTAGACATTAGATGGTATTAAGAAATTACTGTTAATTTCGTTGGGAGTGATAGTACTGCACAGCAGTTACACAGGAAACTTTCCTTCTTCCTTTGCAGTGCATACTGAAGTGTTCAGGGCTGAGATGTCATGCTGTCTGGGATTTATATTAAAGTACTTCACCAAAAAATAGATTAAAGCAAATATGGCAAAATGTTAATAACTACTAAGCCTTGGTGATTGACATATGGAGGGTTCTTACACTTTTCGCTATGCTTTTCTGTTTGAAAATTTTTATAACAACAAGATTTAAAGAAAAATTCCATGAAGTAAAAGAAAATGTAACCAAGGGTTCCCACCCCCACTGGCTCTCTCTAGTGGCTGGCGGTGTTGATCTGAGGGGAGATGGACAGCCCTGCCCAGCCCTCAAAGGGCTCTACCCACCCCTCCAGCTGTGGCCCGTCAGCCACTACCACACACTTGCAGGGAGGCTCTCCAACTGTTTCGTTCTTTTATCTGTTCTTACTGGAGTTTTATAGATAGAAATTGAGGCTGACATCATTACTTCCTTAATGACTTGAATCCAGCCAGAGGAGCAACTTCTCACAGGTTTGAGGGTCACCAGTTGGAATTCAGTGCAGTAGGACAACTGTGTCTGAGGCTGGTGGGTTCTGTCTGTCTTGACTGAGGTGGGCAGGGAAGGCTTTCGTGGATGGCCAGTGACTCCAACTTAAAAAAGAACATGCTGTTGAAAGTCTCAGATCTCCCTTTTCTTTGGGGAGGGTAGGTTCATGTAGGGTGGTGGGGAAGGAGGAAAACAGTAGATATTCTCTTTTTAAAAAAAAAACATTTTTAAATTTAAATCCAATTAATTAGCATATACTTTATTATTGATTTCAGAGGTACCAGCCTGTGATTCATCAGTCTTATATAATACCCAGTGCTCATTCCATCACATGCGCTCCTTAATGTCCATCACCCGGTTACCCCATCTCCCCACCCTCCCTCCCCTCCAGCAACCCTCAATTTGTTTCCTATGATTTAAGAGTCTCTTGTGGTTTGTCTACCTCTCTGGTTTCATCGTGTTTTATTTTTTCCTCTCTTCCCCTATGATCCTGTTTTGTTTCTTAAATTCCACATATCAGTGAGATCATAAAATTTTCTCTGATTGACTTATTTCGCTTAGCATTATACCCTCTAGTTCTATCCACGTGGTTGCAAATGGCAAAATTTCATTTTTTTGATGGCTGAGTAGTATTCCATTGTATATATATATACCATATCTTTCTCCATTTATCTGTCGATGGACATTTGGGCTCTTTCCATGGTTTGGCTATTGTGGACATTGCTGCTATAAACACTGGGGTGCAGGTGCCCCTTCGGATCACTACATGTGTATCTTTGGGGTAAATACCTAGTAGTGCAATTGCTGGGTCATAGGGTGGCTCTATTTTCAACTTCTTGAGGAACCTCCATACTGTTTTCCAGAGTGGCTGCACCAGCTTGCATTCCCACCAACAGTGTAAGAGTGTTCCCCTTTCTCCGCATGCTCGCCAACATCTGTCGTTTCCTGACTTGTTAATATTAGCCATTCTGGCTGGTGTGAGGTGGTATCTCATTGTGGTTTTGATTTGTATTTCCCTGATGCCGAGTGATGTTGAGCATGTCTTCTTTGGAGACATGTCTGCTCATATCTTCTGCCCAATTCTTGAGTAGTTATTCTCTCAATTGACCTCCTCTGACCGCCTGCACCCCACAACTAGGTTGACATTGACACTCCATTTCCTCAGAAAAAACACCCTGACCCCCATCCAGGGTACCCAGAAAGCTCACAGCTAGTTGATCCTATTCTAACTCCCCCTAACACTTCTGCCCCTACCAAGTGACCTGTCTGCTTACCGAAAGTCACTTCTGCTTGTCCCGAACTTGTTTACACCAGCCGTTCTTATTGGTATGACTAAAGGACACACAAGCCAATAAAACTTAAGTGTGGAGTTCTCATCAGATCATCCACACATGTCACAGAAGAATGAACATAGCTTGGCAATTGAATGAACGTTTTTTTTTATGTCTTAAAATATGTAAGAAGTTTAAGGTGTATATTTTCATTTAAGTGCTTTTCAACTGCTACTGATTATGTAATGAGACAACTCCTTCATCCTGACTGTATTGGATAAGAGGTTTTCCATCATCTTATGATTTTCTGTCCAGACTTGAATGAAAATAATCCCAAACCAGATCATTAAAAATTTATTTTTTTCTACTGAGCTTGGTCAGGGAATATATGGATTTTCTTCCCCATTGACTTATCTCCTGGCATTTTATTTAGACTAATTATTAAGATCCACCTGCATTTTCTGAGCATGCACTGATAGTTGGGGACAGACACCTTCCCCACCCATCCCCCCGCACCCCACTTCAGTATGTGGGGAAGCAACCTGACCTTCCAGACATTGGAGCACCGCATGTGCATTATCAAGGTCTAACTGTATTAGAAATAGAAGGACAGCGAAGCCTGGTAGAGAGGCTCTTCTAGAACATTTCACTTGGTTCTTTGAGGCCAGTTAGGGATTTCAGTGTCACTTTCCTTGGTGTGACCAGTTACAGAAGAGACCCTAGAATCAGACCTGGGCTCTCCAGAGCAGTGAGGAGGAAGGCCCTGAAGCTTCAGCTCTGGAAGGAGCTGCCAGGTATTGGCCACATCCCACATGATGATACTCTTGGTGTAGGGTAATGGCATCCTACCTCTGATCCCAACTGCCTTAGACCTCCATGCCAATTCCAAGGTCAGAGATGTGTCAGACCACAGGCAGGTGGAGACATAGCCCTTGGACCTGTCCCATCATAGCCCAGGACTCAAGGACTCAGGGGAAGAGACTTTGCCTACAGAAACAATCTCACGGCCCATGGGGACCTGGCTGCAATTTAAGGTGTAAGAATCTGACCCTCTCTGAGCCTCAGTTTATTCATTTGACTAGGTGAGGAGAATGGACCTGTTGGCTTTTGTGGTTCCTTTCAGCTCTGCCTCTCCGTGGGGCGGTGACCTACCTGCAGTGGTGAGACCAGCCACCAGCAGTCACCAGCAGAGAATACACACTACCCAACAAGTCCCTCCTTACTCAGGGTGAAGGGGTGAATAGGACATCCCTGAATTGAGGGAGAGAACCCAGGTCTTGGCAAAAAGTCAGGGCAACTCTTCCCCTTCCAGACAGAAGCAGAAGATGCGGATGGGGCAGGGGTCTGTCTGCCAAGACCCCGAATCTCTGCAAGGCAGGGCAGGGGATGCTCCATCTGACTTGTGGGAAGGGGCAGGGAGGGGATTGCTGCTGCTCCAAGCCCTAACCCGGAGCCTCACAGCTGATGGGGGAGTGTGGGCCCGGAGGGTTTGCTCCATCTTACAGGACTGTCTTGGGATGGGGCCACCTCTTGGGTTCCAGGACTTGAGACCTGTCACCGGCCTATCATGCCCTCCGGCAGGTGGCTCAGCTCCTAGGCAGGGAAGGGCATGGGTCAGTCCTCTTTGGGCGCCCGGAACTCGGGCATGCTCCAGGTCCGGAGTGGAGGCGGCATGTCCCGCTCCACGTCCTCCGAGATGGTCCGGATGTCACTGGTGAAGGGGGTGATGCGCGCGCGGGTCTTGAAGGTGGCCAGCGCCAGGTTGCCGCGGGGCCGCAGGCTCCATTGCCGCGTCAGCTTGTGGGCCTCTTCCTCCTGCTTCATTCTCTCCAGGACCTCCTGCAGCACCGAGCGGAAGAGCTGGGACACCTCCTGCACCTTGGGCTCCTGCTCGGCCAGCAGCTGCCGGAACCTGTGCGCAGAGCAGGAGAAGTGCTATGGGTGAGTCATCTGGTGTGGCACAGAGCAGGTGTCTAACCGCCTCCTGCGCATGCCCAGTGGTCACTTCCCCTTTTCGCCACTTCCTCACTTCTGACGTCAATCAGAAACCACCGCACCTCCCTATTGCTCCAGCCAGTGCTGAGTTTAAAATCCCCGCTCTGCTACTTCCAGCCTCTATGGGCCTCAGCTTTCTCATCTGTAAACTAGGGTCATAGCTACCATTCTGTGGGGCTTACAAGCTAACATATGTAAAGATCCTGACATTGACCTCAGGTTATCGATGCCAGATTATCAATGCCATGACCTGGCCTTACCTGTTGGAGGCTTTCTGGCTAACCTCTCCCACCCTTCTTCCCCTGGTGGCCAGAGTGATCTCTTCAAAATGTCTGATGGTATCACTGCCCTGTGATAATCCTTCCATAGCTCTTGGCTACCTGCTGGGTGAGGTTTTCCTCTGCCTAAAATGCCTTCGCTGAGAGCTCAAAGGGAAGGATAGTTATTAGCAAGTCCACTTAATGATTTCCTCCACCATATTGCCAGTGAGGAATTCTCACACTTTTCAGCAGTGAGACAGGAAATGTGGGGGAACAATCATGATCATATGTGTGTCCCCAACCTCCCCTTCATTTATGAGGTTTGGTTTACCAGCCTGGATTCTCTCGTCAACACCACCCCTATGACTCACTCCCCCCCACCTCCCCCATCCCCAGGTGCTTCTGGAGGTAGGTACATTTTAGGGGGATTCCAAAGCACAGAACAAGAGAACCTGGAGAGGGTAAGATTCTCAGCCTGGAGGAAGAAAGGAGGGAGGGGGTGAAAAAGACTACAAAATCCAGTGGGGTGTGGTTAGGACTGGAGAAAGAGAAGGAGTTTAAGGAGAAGGAGTTTTAAGGAGAATTCCCAAGAAAAAAGGGGTACAATAGATGCTTACATTGGTTAAAGAGATGGGTGACTGAAGATTTGGGGGACGTTCAGATGTTTTATTGTGGATCCGTATTCCTTTACTAGTGTTTGAGAAGTGCAGATGAAGAACTTGGGTAACTTTTGAAATTATTGTTGGTTGTTGGACTACATTTCTTCGACTTCAACATGAACCCAACCGAGACTGGGTCATGTGGGTTAGAACTTTATTAAGGTTACATTTATATTCAGGAACACTGTGGTACCCAAGCCCTAAATCTCTACATGTTCAATGCCCCAGGCCTCTGAATACTTCACACACACACACACACACACACACACACACACACACACACACACACAGTGCCCTGAGGCAAATTATTATGAATGCTAGTGTGACATAGGTTAATGAAAAACTGAATTTTGGAAAGATTATCTGGAAAACCTTTCTAAGACAGTAATATAGATGATGAACTGATGAAGGAGAAAGAGCCAGCTGTGTTAAAATCCAGGGTAATGATAATCCAGGGAGAACAGAAACCTCAAAGGCCTGGGGTTCTCTCCCATCAAAAGTCATGTGCCTCCGGGAGCTGCCTCTAGGCTCCTTCTGAACTCCTAGCTCTAGCCTGGCATTCTGTGGGCTCTTGCAGAGCCCTCCTTCCGCCTTGCTCCTTTTAACAGATCACTGGGTCATCCAGGTGCCCCAGCTCCAGTCCTGGTGTCGTCAGGCCCCCACCCCTGCAGCCACATGCCTGGAGCCTACGGTGTACCCGCCGGGCCCCGGGCCTGTGCAGGGGTTACCTGAGGATGGCAGGCCCACAGTAGGATGGGTGGATCTTGGCACAGACGTCTTCTAGTTGCAGCCGCTCGCCAGGGCTAAGGTCGTAGGTGGGCCGGGGTGCACTGGCCAACCAGCTGTAGTCGACCCCGGTGCAGATCTTGCTGCCTGCATTGCCGCGCTCCCACTGCTGCCTCTCCGCCTCTCGCATCTGCCCCGCCAGCTCCATCATGAGCGTCTCCAGCACCGTGTCGGCCGGCCTCCGGGAGGACAGCCTCGGGGGGGCTTCATTCCACCGAAGCCAGGGGATGAGGGACATGCCCCCCCCGCAGTCCCTGCTGAGACAGGGCAGGAGTGCGTCCTTCTGGGGACTCTCTGTCAGTTAGGGTGGGGAGAGCAAGGGGGAAGGAGGAGAGCTGGGACCTGTTCCGCCCTCACAGCTGGGTGGCCTGGAGGAAGTTGCTTAACCTTTCTTAGCCATCATTTCTAATTCTGGAAGACAAGATTGGGCTGTCATGAGAAGCAGTTGTGAATAAACTTGGGGCACTCTAAGCACCACATAAAAGTACAATAGTCTCATGGTTATAACGATCCCTAATGCATCCTGATGTCTGAGCCCAGACAAGCTGCCTCCTGAATCCCCGCGAACTCCAAACACAGAAGGAAATATACTGTGGATGGCTTGAGCGAATCTTATCCCTACAATTTAAGGGGAAAAAATATATGACTACATCTTCTGTCAACCTAACAGGAAAACACCCTGAGTTTCTTAATGCCCCAACCTGCTGATAAAGGAAGCTTGGAATTGTATGGGGTTGACCTCAACCTGCAAAGGACACAACTTACCTACCACTCATTCATTCATTCAGAAGCATTAGTCAAGCACTGTGTACACATCTGTGGAGGAACACAAACAGGAAAGCATGTCAGGGAGATGTCAGTGGAAAGAGGTAAACGGGAGCAGTGAAGCATAGTGTGGGTACTGATGGGGAGGGGAAATAGTGACTCCAGGGGATGAGGAGGGTCATAGAAGGCTTGTGGACAAGAGCAGGCTGAAGGGGGAATGCCGGCTTCAGACACATGGACTGATGGGGAAGGTGTCCCAGGTGGAGGACCCAGCCAAGGTACAGGAGAGACGTGTGCAAGGAGCATTGGCTGCAGGAGCAGGGGCCTTAACTCATCATATTTCCACAAGGTCTTGCACAATACAGGTTTGGTGAATGGCTGACTGGATGGGTGGATAGATGGATGGATGGATGGATGGTTGGATGGATGGATGGATGGATGGATAAATGAACTGCCATCTCAGGCATACTCTGATGCCTGTCAGAAGTGGGTTTGTGCCTCTGACAGCAGTGAAGGTGAGGGCTGTTCCTGGGCCAAAATCTGAAGTGGGTCTTCCAGAAGGCCCAACTCCCCTGTCTATGCCTTTCCCCCTCCAGGGATCTCCCTGTTCCATGCACCAGTGGTCTCCCTGCCCATACCCTCCAGATGCCAAGAAAAGTGATCAGATGAACTCAGTCTCAACAACATAGCCGTGAGGCATGGAGACACACACATTTTCAGGCAACCCTCCCACCACCCTGCAGAGAAATGAACGGTTAATGCTGGAGAATCAGACACAAATAGGAAAAGTATTATGGGGTAGCAATAACCTTCTGGGGTGGCACCAATGAAACCTTCTCTTTACCCATGAACCACCAATTTCTTTAGCAACCGTTATATTTAGGATGTTTAAAAACTATCATCCTCCACTCAGCCTAAGCCCATCACCAGTAGGGCCTCAGATTACACCCTGACTCCTTCCTGGGAGGTTGGGAGGGAAGGACACAGACCATCAGACCCTGTTCTTGGCTTCAGGACAGTTAGGATCTTTTCTTCTCTGCCCTTAAAGCTGGGCAGTAATGTGGGGAAGGGTGGGGGATGGAGGTGGGCTGTGTTCTGTCCTGAGAGCCATGAGCACCAGGAGCCTCTGCCCGAGGCCAAGGGCTCTGGTTGAATCAGGCGGTGGGACATCTTGTAACTGAAGGTGCTACGTTTCCTACAGTAGGCAGGCATTTGTGTTTTTACAAGTACACTGGTCAGGTTGATGCTTAACAGCAAAAGAGTGAATGGTGTCATTTCAGGTGTTCATTCAACCCCGTGAGGGGCACTCCAAGTGTGGATGGGTTACCAGTCCCCACAGGGGCCGCTCATGGTGCTGGGCCACTCACAGCCCCATGCTCTCTCCAGTGTCCCTCCCTCCCCTGCCTGGGGACTTAACGCCAGGCTTAGCTCCTCTCTGGAAGCTTTCCCTGACACTATGCCTGACACACTTTTCCTGATGTGACCACTCTCCACTTTGTCCCCTGACTGCACTCCGTACAGACATTTTTCATAGCAGCAGGAACACTTTATGGAGCATGACCATCTACCTCCCCGATGCTTGTGTGTCATATGTGGGTGAGGACTGTGCCCTATTCATGTTTCCATCCCTGGTGCTGGATAGTACTGCTGTGGTGCTTAATAAATGCCAAACAAACGAATGAGTGAGTGAATGCCTGAACAAAGGAATGAATGATGAATGCGTGCATGTATGCATGATGGTGAAAAAGCGAGCCCCACAGATCGGACCTCCCCCAAATGAGGGGGCATTTGTCAGCAGCCACGGGAAAGACAGTCTCCTCTGGCCTCCATGGCTCCACACTCTCCCGTCACTCAGAGACTGCTCCTGAGGATGAGATATTGGCTGAGCTATGGGGCCATGAGGATATGTGTGGTCCCCCTGCTGGGATGGTTCCTGCCTCTCTACCCCACCGAGCCTCACCCTATGATGGTTCCAAACCTGGCCCAGGCCCTCCTTCTCCAGGAAGACATCTTTGGTTAACCTCCCTCAACCCCTCCACCCCAACATGCCCCCCCATCACCAGGCCATACTGCACCTGCCCCTCAATGCTGGGCACCTGTCCCTTGAGCTTCACCAGCCCGGAAGATAAATGAATGAGGAAGAGACCAGTGAGGTTTGGGGAGGGATGTGATGCCTTGGAATGAATATAACCTGCCTCGGACACCCTCCCCACTCCAAACACCCTCAACTCCCTGCCACACCCCTACTGACAGCACATATCCCAGCTAACCTGAGGCTTCCCAGTGCAACCCCACTGACCATTCCTTCCTGTGGAAAGAATCTTCCCTTGGATTCCATTAAGCCCCAATCTTTGGTCTAGGTCCCGCCCTGGTCTGCCTCATGCCTCGGTCTGCCTCCTGGGCCTCGCTCTCAGACCCAGTACATCCAATTCCTATTGATTCTTCCAAATTTAAATATTATAAGTCTCCTAATTCTGTCCATTCTCTGTCCCTCCTTTAGTTTCGGTCTTGACCATCTGCCAGATATAGTACAGCTGCTCCTAGCTGGCAACCCAGGGCTGGTCCTTCTGATCTAATCTTCACTCTAGTTTCCTTTTATTGTGATTAAAAAAAAAAAGCAAATAACATGAAATTTACCATCTGAAAGAGTTTTAAGTGTACAGTACAGTAGTGTTAACTATAAGCGCATTGTTATGCAACAGATCTCTGGCACTTTTTCATCCTGCAAAGTTGAAATCCCATACCCGTTGAACAGCTTCCACTCAATGATTTAGAAAGCGTGATCTTTTTCTTTTCTTTTTTTAAGTAGGCTCCATGCTAAGCCTGGAGCCCAGTGTGGGGCTTGAACTCACAACCCTGAGGTCAAATCCTGAGCTAAGATCAAGAGACAGATGCTAACCAACTGAGCCACCCAGGTGCCCTGAAAGTGGGATCCTTCTAAATCATAAGTCTGATCATGTCACTATTTTGTTTTCATTAGCTACCATAACATAGGTAGAGCATGGGGTCTGAGCTGTGAGCCTGTCACCCCTATACCTCCCACCCCCTGCAAATTTCACTGGCTTCAAAATATCAATGGAAATCTGAAAAATTGAAATTAATAAATTAATAATTCCAAATTAAAGTTATAAAACCCCTTTCAAATTTTTATTTAAAAATAATTGTTATGTGGATTCATTTTATGATGATGTTTGATGTGATGTGGGGGTGGGGCCTCCAGTAGTCAAATGTCTGTGGCCTGTGAGGGGCTTTAAATTGCCCTGTGTTTAAGCCTGGGGAATTAAAGGCTTTCAGTTGTTCCTGATGTCCTTAGACCCCTTAATATGGCTTCAGGGCCCTTTATTATGTGGCTCCTGTTTATATCATCAGCTTTGTGTCTCACCAAACTTCCCCTTTCCTCCAGTCCTACACACACACACACACACACACACACACACACACACTCACACTCACACTCTCCCTCTCTTCCAGAATGTGCCCTGCTTTCTCTTGCTTTTAGGCCTTTGCACATATCTAGAACACTCTTTTTCTTTTCTTTTACTGAGGTATAACTGACATGTAACATTATAGTAATTTCAGGTGTACAACACAATGATTCGATATTCATATATATTGTGAAATCACCCCAATAAGTCTAGTTAATATCTGTCCCCATACATGGTTACAGTTGTTTTGTGATGAGAATTTTTAAGGTCTACTCTCTTACCAACTTTCAAACATACAATACAATGTTATTAACTATCCCCAGGACTCCTTTATTTTACACCTGGAAGTTTGTACTTTTGGCCCTCCTGCACCCATGTCAGCCCCCTTCCCACCTGCTGCCTCTGGCAACTACCAGTCTATTTTCTATCTATGAGCTCAGTTTTTTGTTTTTGTTTTGTTTTCGGTTCCACATATAAGTGAGATAATACAGTATTTGTCTTTCTCTGTCTGACTTATTTCACTTAGCATAATACCCTCAAGGCCCATCCACGTTGCTGCAAATGGCAAGATTTCCCTCTTTCTTATAGGTGAGTATATATATATATATATATATATGTATATACCAGCTTTTCTTTATGCATAGAGCACTTTCAGCACTGTACTCAATAAATCCTACTTCAGCTCTTAGCTCATACTCCGCTTGTATGACACCCAAACCCTCCCTGACCAGGTTCTGGGGCCTCATCTCTCTGCTCCAGGCTGCTCTGTGCTCACCTCATCCTGGCACAGCCCCAGCACACCGTGACTGCCTGTGTGTCCATCTCGCTCTCCAGACCAAGTGAGAAACCAGGTCTTGGGCATCATCCTACCCAGCACCCAGCACCCAGCACCCAGCGGAGGGTCTGACCTACGGCAAGTGTGCGGTGGAGGTCCATAAGTAAATAGAGTCATACTTGGGTTAATCCCAGAGTGATGGACGGGGTTGCCATGTGGTGATTTAGTCCTCATTCTCTCTCTCTCTCTCTCTCTCTCTCTCTCTGTGTGTGTGTGTGTGTGTGTGTGTGTATACAGCTAGGCTAGAACTCTCCCTAGGGAGTCCCTTCCCACTCCAAAACTTCTCACCCTTCCTAAGATCCATTTGGAGGGACTCATCCTTGGATCAAGCATGGCCCCCTCAAAGGGCTTTTTTTCTTCTTCATCTGGATTTGCATTTGAGCTGGAAGGAGGCAGCAAGAGAATGGCTCAGCCATAGAGGGTCCTCCTGTGGCAGGGGAATACAGAAGAAAGATGGGAGGCACTGAAGACAACTTTTATCTCCACACCAAAATGCCCTCCAAATGTTGGCAGCAAAGCCAATCCAGGCCCAGTCAGGGCACCGCTCATTTGCTAGGAGACTAGGAGAGTGCCGTAAAAAGAACCTCACATCCATGTGTCTAAATATTTGTAAGTTACAAATTAGGTTAACAAACTATTAAATAAAACATGTTTTGCTTTTCCTTCCTTGTCAACTGTACCTTCATAACAACTTGGAGGCTCAGATTCAAACTGAGAATTCTTGGACTCTCAGGAGAGACTTCTTTGCTAGAACACGGAGGCATGGGTTGAGGCAGCTCTGGCTCTCAGCCTGTGCCCTTCTCTTCTCACACCATGAGGGGCCTGGCAAACATGTGGGGACACCCCAGCATTCACATCCAAGGCCCCTCCACATGCCTACCAACAACCTCTTCTTTGCCACGCTCAGATCTGGGACAGTTGATGTTGGTGATGTCGCCCACCCTGAGGAGACTGGGCCATGGAGGAGGCTTGCTCAGGCTCTGGCAGTGGGCGGGAGACTGTCTGGGCCAGGAATTCTGGGTCTTAGACTGTAAGGCCTGATCTGGAAGGGAAGTGACCTTAGGGTGTGCACGTCTTCCTGACCCCCAGACTCCTTGCCCCAGAGGGGTGAGGCCAGAAGAAAGCCGAAGTGTGGTCTAAAGTGCAACCTGGGGCGGGGCCGCCCTCCCCTGGGTTTAAGGCTGTACTCCTGACCTAAGCCGCCACGGCAGATGGCAGGGGCTAGGCAGGGTGACCTTACCTGAGTCCTGGGTTCTGCGGGCTCTCGGCATCTCCGGCCCAGGTGGTGGGGGCTCCTAAGGGCAGGGGGCAGGTTCTGAATTTTCTCTGTCCTCCCTCAGCCCTCACGGGGGCTGGAGCCTTTGACAGAGACAAGGTTTCTACTGGAGCTGTTTCTTTCTCTGGTGCCAGCTGCTGTCTGTGAGGCAGCAAGTCTGATTAAGTTCTTAAAAGGGCAAAGGAGGGGAAGAGGGATAAAGGGAGGGAGAGCAGGACAGAGGCGGGCCGGCCACACAGACACCAGACGTTATTGGCTTAGCCCATGGCATCCCCGGGGCCTGACCCACAGCCGAGACCCCAGGTGAGTCTTTGTTGTGACCGTCTGGGGAAGAGTGTGATGGCCAAACGCGGTCCGCTAAAGACACCCAGACGGCTCCTCAGAACAGCAAGTGTGGTCTTCTCTAGGCACTTGGCACAATTTGGATTCAACTCCTCCCCTCCCCCCAAATCTGGATTAACCCCCCCTCCCTCTGTGGCAAAGCCAAACTCGTCAGTGTAAGCTTCAGGTCCCCTCACACTCCTGCTCACTGCTGGGCCTTGGCAGCACCGTGGTGACTCTGGAACCTTCCCATGATGAACGCCTGCTTCCCATTCAGTCAACAGCACCTACAGTCTGCTTCCAATGCACAAACATTGATTGAATCCTTGTTTAAAACAATTAGGACAGGGACACCTGGGTGGCTCAGTTGGTTAAGCATCTGCCCTCGGCTCGGGTCATGGTCCCAGGGTCCTGGGATCGAGCCCCGCATCAGGCTCCCTGCTCAGCGGGAAGCCTGCTTCTCCCTCTGCCTGCCGCTCTCCCTGCTTGTGTTCTCTTTCCCTCTCTGACAAATAAATACATAAAATCTTTTAAAAAATAAATAAAACAATTAAGACATCAGGGGAAATTGGAATATAAACTGGAGGTTAGGGAATGAGTGTCGATCTTCTTAGGTATAAAAATGGTGTTATGGTTATAGGGGCATAGGGACAAATAGCCCAACTTAGAAGGCCATGTTGAAGTGTTCGTGGCTGAAGTATCACGATGTTGGCAATGTCTTTCATTCCAGTTGTTCAGAAAAATGTCACATACACATGCACACACACACACACACACACACACACACAGGGAGAGGGCAACTAGGGCAAGGTATTCACGGTGGTTTTCTCCTTTAAAAGTTGGGGGAAAAGTCTAGCTCAAAACTCACTTTCTGCAGGAAGTCTTCCCAGCTCATTCTAGCCAGTGGACTTGACTTGCTCCCCAGCACCTCTGCCCACGGTTTCTGTCACACTTGTGCAAAGTGCTGTGGCATTTCTCCACGGATGCACGTGGGTGCGGAGGGAGCGAGCTGCGGCGTGTGCTGGGCTGGTCTGCGGTCTGCGGCCCGAGGCTGGGCCTGCCTCCCGGCCCATCCCACCCGGCCACACACAGGTGGGAGTGTGCAGGGGGCTGGCCGCCGCGTGGGGGGCTGCCGTGCTGAGGTGCTGGGGGCCGGGGCACACATTCAGGAGGGAAAGGACAACAGGGAGACAAGTAAGGACTGGCCTGCGGAGCAAGGGCATGGCTGCAATCCGGAGTACAGTGCCACCAGGGGCGTGCCCGTCCTGCCCTCGGCCGATCACCAGCTCAGACAAGGCCGGCCAGTGTTGGGGACAGAGCACAGGCTTTAGCAGAGTAAACCTAAGTTCAATTCCTCTGCCTTTCTGTCCCCGCCAGATGCTGCCTGTGTGCAAGCCACCTTCACTGCTCCAAGCCTCAGTCTCCCTGTCTGTAAGCTGGGGTAAGTAGGGTACCTACTTCCCAGTACTGTGAAGATCAGAAAACGATGTCCACATAAGGGCTTTATAAATGAACAAGACATTGAGGTTTACGAACTCAGGTAGGAAAAAAAAACACCCTTCTTTATTTTCACTAACTTTAACTGAAATGTAGTATTTCTGTCAGTTATGAGTGTGTGCTACCGGCCACCGCAGTATGGGGAGCACCTGCAACTTTACCTCCAGCAGAGATCACAGGTATTTTCATAATACTTGAAAGCTGTTATTCTTGAAATATGGCTTCTGTTCATCGCTACTGTGAAATCATGGGATTAGCTCTGCCACTAGATTTCCTTATTTTACATGTTGATGGAGAGGCACATAGATGACTAGATCTTAAATTGATTTTTAAAAAATACATAAATAGCTACATTTCAGTACAGCTGGTTTCTTCCCTAACCCTATGGACTGAATTTTATGCATTTAGAAACATTTTGCTAAGAATGTGTCCAAAGGCTACAGACTTCCAAAGGGGTCTGTAGCATAAAAAATAAAGGACCCTGTGGTTTGGTACAAGCTTGACTCCAGCCTTGTTCCTGGCCTTGCCCTAACCCTGGCTTCGGGTCATGGCACTGGGAAAGCTGAGCCCCCCTGGATGAAGGGAAAATTCAGGTGGGGGAGCCTCAGTTTACCCCCACCGGCAGGAAAGCCCTCCCATGCTCTCTCTGACTCTTAGCATCACTCGGCTAAGCGCTCATTCATTCAGTGTTCTTCCTTCCCTTCCTTCTCTTCCCCTTCATTACCTTTTCCACCCCCAGGCTCTCTGAGCTCTTCCTTCAGCCTGTTTTTGAACATCCCTGAGGATAATGTCTTTTCCATGGCTCCCTGGGAGACACTATCACCAGCTGTGGCTCATTAGATACGCTAGAAAAACCATCCCCAAGCTCAAGGGCAAGAGGAATCTGGTTCCCGGCAATTAGCAGTCAGAGGGGAGCGGGGATGTCTCAGCGGTGGGAACAATCAGGGGTTGTGCCCTCAGAGTTAGAAGCAAGGCATGAAAGGATCCCCTGCCTCCGGTGAGCACCAGGCCACCAGCCCCGCGGCCATGCAGGCCACCAGCCCCGTGGCCAACCAGGGAGGGATGGCAGAGTCCTGACCAGGAAGTTGTTGTCTCAGTACAGAGGGAGGCAGGCCCAGGCCCTGCCTTGGAAGCAGGGCTCCAACAGCTGAACTGGGGTGTCTGCTGGCCAGAGCGACAGCTGCCTCGCGTGTCCCCCAGGCCCATGGGCATGGAGCGGCAACTTCGCTGGGCTCTCCCAAGTCGCCGCCTGCTTCATAGAGCAGGCAGGGTGGCTCTGCTGGAGCCAGACCCTCCATCTGGGCAGAGGCCTTGAAACAGGTGCAGAGAGTAAATGCTCCCCTCTCTGACCTTCCTTCCAGCCCTGTTAGAACCAAGGTCCAAGGTCCAAGACCCACTTCACAGATTACAAATTGACCTGATTTCTTTTGGCATCATAGAAAAATAACTAGTAAGCTACCAAGCCAGGTGTGACTCAGCCTGACCTGCTGACCTGTGGGCCTCCATCCACTTGACAAACACCTGATCATCTTTTAAGACACACCTCAAGGGTCAGCTCCCCACTGCCTGCCCCTCACTGACCCCCACTGAGGTAGAACTGGGTGTCTGCTGTGCGTGGCATGAGGGCCCGGCGCATCATGGCATCTGTAACAGATACATTCCTCACTTTTTGGTTGTTTCCCTCTCCCCATTGCCAGCTATGAGCTCTGGGAGGGCAAGAGCTCTAATTGTTAAATCTGCTGCCATGTAGCAGGCATTTCATAAACGGTTCCTGACCGTGTGAATGAATGAAAGAATGAATGGCAGTCAGTCCTCCTCCTGCTGAGGCAGAGGTGCAACCAGGAGGGGTCAAGTGCTTAGGCCCAGATGACTACGGTCGCAGTGCGGGTGGGGAGGGTGGCTGATCCCCAAGAAACTCTATGCTGATCCAATGATCATGGATCAGACGTCTCTTCCCAAGCCGGATCCCCTCCCTGGAGCACATCCACACGGCCACTCCCCTGGGTGTATTAGCAGGACTCACAGACTGAGGTCTACACACTGCCCAGATGTCTGGGTCACGGCTGTGTCCCAAGAGCCTGACTCTGCACCTTGCACTTAGTAGGTGCTTGAATCACAATTCTCAAATCGATGAGAGAATCTCCAGTGGGTTTCACCCCTTTACTCCCTGCCCGGGGCCTCCCCACCAGAGCAGAAGAGAAAATGCTGGGGCTTGCTGGTTCCAGAGCAGATGGACCTATGGCTTCCCACGGGATAGGTCACGGCCCTGAGGATCCTACGGAGTCCAGTGACTCTTTGATGAGGCCTCCTCGAGGCCATCTGGGCCCTGGGCTGAGACCGCTCAGTAGGCTGTCCCCAACCTGCCACAGCCCCGAAGCCGCCCCTCCCAGCTCCAGGCGTGGCCCAGCCTCTGCTCTAATGTCTGTCTAAAAGTTTTCAGGTCGGGTTGCTGCTTCTGGGGTTCAGGTGGGGAAGCCACAGTCTCCTGCGGAGACCACCCTCTTACCTGGCCTTCTGAGGTCAGCCTCTCCGGAGGTGAAAGGCCCAGCTGGGGTCCTGCCTTCTGCTTCCCAGCCTGGGAGAAGAGAGCGTCAGGGGAGGGTGGGTGGAGGGAAGACTACATTCTAAAGCTCTCCCTCTTCTTTCCCTTCAGCGGCTGGCTCCTGCCCCATGCTCTTCCCTCTCTCTCGCGGAAGTTGTGCAGAGAGAAAACAACCCTGGCCAGACGAGGGATCCAGCCTGGGCTGGTGTTTGTGGTGTGTGCGCGCACACGCGTCCCAGGAGGCTGGAAGCACAGCTCCTCCTGAACCTCAGAGGCGGCGGGCCAGCCCCTGAGCTGCGGTTGCCATGGAGACCCACGTAAGCCTCTTTCACCTGGAGCTGTGTTATCTGTAGAGGGAGCCCGTCTGACCTGACACAGGTGCCCCGGAAGACCCAGGTGGTGACCGAGCGCCCGCGTCCCGATGGCGTTCCTCCCTGCACTCGGGGTGGGGTGGCAGCAACAGGGGGCCAGAGCTGCTGGGGGCAGATGGTCCCATCTTGGTGCAGCTCCTCTCTTCCCGCCTACTTCCCTCCTCCAGGAGAGGGGGGGATTCTGGGTGCTGGGGGCTGGGGCCTGAAGAGACTTGTCTTCACCTTTGCCTCCCCGCATCCTTACCTGTTTTCCTCTTTGCTGATCAAAATTCTCTTTCCCTGAAGGCAAGCTCAAGGGCAGGAAGTGCTGCTGGCTTTCTGGAGGAGGGGACAGGGCAGAGGAAGGAGTCCAGGGAGAAGGGGGAGCGTGGGTCACGGTGATTGATTCTGAGGTAGTTGAGATAACGTGTGGGGCTGGCGGGAGCCTCCTGTTGCTGTTCTCCGGGATCCCACACTTGCCTGTGGGCCTCCCGACTGTCTCTGCGCTCTGGACGCTTTATCCCTTGCAGGCTAGAGGGGCCCCGTGTGGCCCAGCCTGCGCCCACCAGACATTAGAGGGCACTGACACAGACGCGTGTCGCCCTGTGAGCAGCATCGGCCCTACTGTGATGCTGTGCCAGCTACCAGATGATGGACGGACTGCTGGACACATCTCGTCCTAATTGTGTGCAAAATAAAGCAGAACGCATAGCCAAGGAGAAATTAAACTATGATGAACTGGCTTGGCCTGCCCACCTGCCTGTTGTGATTTTTCCCTGGGAGCTCTGCCACTCTGTGCTTGCTGGGTGCTTGCTTCTGCTGGTGACTCTGGCGTCCTCGTCCAGTTTTTCAAGCAGGGGTCCTAAGCCAGGATCTGAGCCATTTCTTCTCTTAACCAGTTCAAGGCACAACTGTTCCAAAGGCTGGGAGAGCCACTGCGTATGGAGGACTGCCGCATTTTGGGGAGCTGAAGCTCACTTCCTCTGACCCACAGTTCCCAAGTGGCCCCCACCCCAGGGCCAGCTGAGGTCAGAGCAACCTGAGGCAGGTAACCAGAAGTCCCCATCTCTGAGCATCCCACCTCCATCCTGGTTCGTCCTCAAGGGCAGAAATTCTAAGGCATTTCCAAGCTGGGGGTGGGGGGTATGGACTAGCAGGACAAGAAAGCTCTGCCCTCCTTTTGGGAAAGTTACTAGAAGTGATTAGAAGTGACCAAGTCACACACTGATTCATGCCACTTGTAGGTCCAGAGCACCGTTCTTTGCGGACGGAGGCTGAGTAATCCCATTCCCTTCTCCCTCCACACGTCCCAGCCAAGCCTCTGGGAGGCGGGTCAGAGGAGTAAGAGATGGAAATCTTGCAGGAGCGTGGGGAGCAGGGACAGTAGTAGGGTTCAGAGCTAAAGACTTCTGTCTCCCTACTGTACAACCTTGGGTCTACTACTGACCATTCTTTTTTTTTTTTTATTTATTCATGAGAGACAGAGAGAGAGACAGACAGAGAGAGGCAGAGGGAGAAACAGGCTCCCAAGGAGCAGGGAGCCCGATGCGGGACTCGATCCCAGGACCCTGGGATCATGATCTGAGCTGAAGGCAGAGGCTTAACCTGAGCCACCCAGGCGCCCTACTACTGACCATTGTGTTTGAATGAAAAAATTTATCCCTTTTCTAGAGCCATGCATTATTCTTAATACCTCACCCCCAAACACACACACACACACACACACACACACACACACACACACAATTAATGTAAATGAGATCATATCATACGGGTCAGTGTTGTCAGCCATCAGAAGGAATATTTCACTGCAGCAAGGGGTGAGCTTCTGGACTCCTGACCTGTGGCTCTGGGGAACATGCACACAGATGACCGAGTTTTTTGTATCTTCCTTCCTGACACAGCTGGCTCTTTTCCTGCACTTTTCAACGATGCCTGTGACCAGGAGAGTGGGTTATCCCCTCCCCCTTCCCTCCCCTGCCTGCAGCCTTGACACCATAACTCAAAGAGGGCTTGGCATTTGTGTTGACTGCTAATTTATTTTGATTTGTTAGCCTGTGGAGGCTTTGTGATTATCCATGATGAGTGTGAATTTGTACTAGAGAGAGAAGGTGGTTGTTTTTTCTCTCATTTGACATCAATGGGAGTTGCTGAAGCGTAGTTAAATATTCTGCTGCCATTCAAAGGGAGAGACACCAGTGGGGCCCATGACATTGCCTCACAGATGGTGCTTGATTAATAAATTGGAGATGTGGAATTATGAAGCTGTTGGGTGCAAGGCTAGATTAAAAACCAAGGGGAGATTGGAGAAGATCCCTGACCCCAGATGTCAGGTTGCCCTTATGGGGGTTCTCTTCCTGCTCCCTCTTCCCTGGCTTCCTTCCAGGTGGTGGGGATGGCTCCAAACCATTTCTAACCACTCGGTCATGCATTGGGCTTTAAGAGTCCTGCAGAAGGTCTGTGTAGCCCAAACCCTGAATGAGATGGCATTAAACTGACGTAATATTCATTGAGACAGATCAGACTTGCCTTTACCCATACCTCTTCTCTCCAGGCAGCCCTCTCTCTACTCCTGTGGCCACATTTTCTTCTCCAAGTGAAGGCAGCATTGTATCTGATGACAGACAGGAAAAACGAGAATGCTCACCTTCCTCCCAGCTGGCTTGCTTAAGCCCCGGCTCCCTCTCTCTGCCGTCCTTTCCCTGCACCCCCAGCCTCAAATACATTCAACTAAAGGGAACTAAGGAGAGAGGCATAATGCATTTCTCATTCATTCATTCACAGAGTGTTTATTGACTATCTACTCTGCTAGACAGATGGCTCATTTCCATAGAATTCACTCACTACCAACTTCTTTTAGATTCTGCCCTGTGTTTTGTTTTGACAAACTGACCTGAGAGCCTGTGGCAGAAAAAACTAGCTGTCCACCCAAGCTTCGTGCCCCCTTCCTGAGTGTGGACACGTTTCTGGGAAGCAGCTGTCCACACAGGGACTCCCTCACCCAGCCTCCCTGGCATCTAGGTAGCGCCACGTGACGACAGAATGCCGGTGGAAGGAATGCGCACCACCGTAAGGCCTGGCCTACGACAGTCTCCAGAGTAAGTCTTCACCTTCCATCTTTCCCCACTTGCTCGTAGGCAGCGAGGACTCAGGTCATGGAGCACAGCGGAGCCACAGTTTGGAAGGAGCCAAAGTCTAAATTACGTGGAAGGCCATCTGCCAGTCACCCATGCTGAACTCTAATAGTGCAAGAAATGTATTGGGTCAAGCCATTTGGGGTTTCTCTGCCACAGCAATTGGCCCGACCCTCACTAGTGGAAAGCCCTGTGGGAAGGGGTGGATGTGGATCAGAGCTCTTCCTGACATGTTCCCTCCCACATCCCCCGTCTTCATCCCAAAGAAATGAATCACCTCACTGCCCATTGTCTCTGCCCCAGGTGCCCTCCCGCCTGGGGAAATCTTACTTACCCCTCGAAATTTAGCTCCAGTGGTAAAATCCTTGTAAGTTTTCCTGTCTTCCCAGCTGTTCCCTCCTCTCCCTGAAGCTTCATTCTTAATTCTGTACATATAGTCGATCTTCATTACTCACAGATTCCATATTTGGCAATTTTCCTACTCGCTAAAATTTGTTATCCCCAAATCAATGCTCACAGCACTTTTGGGGTCATTGTGGACCTTTACAAAGCATGGGGAAAATTTGACTTGCCTGGCAAGCACATTCCTAGCTGAGGTTGAACAAAGCGACCCTCTGCCTCCTTGTCTCAGCTCTCATGCCGTACGCAGGATCCTTTTCACGGTCTGGCTAGTGCCACACTTTTCGCACTTGGTGCTCTTTATTGGTGATTTCTCCCTTTGAAATGGCTCCACGCGCGGTGCTGGAGTGCTGTGTGGTGTTCCCAAGCACAAGCAGACGGTGATGTGCCCCACGGAGGAGAAAATACGCGAGCTTTGTCCAAGTCTGAGTTACAGTGCTGTTGACCATGAGTTCGGTGCTCATGAATCAACCATATATATATGTAAAGTGTCTTTAACCAGAAGTGCACACAAAACAGGGTTATGGATTGATTGGTTGGCAAACATGTCATGACCAGAGGCTTTTGGGAAACTAACCCTGTATTTCCCCCAGGAGCAATTGTTCAGTTTTTGCTAACTCAGCATTTGCAGCGACTTTTATTTTTATTTTTTTTAAAGATTTTATTTATTTGACAGAGAGAGACACAGTGAGAGAGGGAACACAAACAGGGGGAGTGGGAGAGGGAGAAGTAGGTTTCCCACCGAGCAGGGAGCCTGATGAGGGACTCGATCCCAGGACCCCGGGATCATGACCTGAGCCGAAGGCAGGCGCTTAACGACCGAGCCACCCAGGTGCCCCATGCAGGGGCTTTTAGAACATTACCTCAGTGAATGAGAATGAGCTGTGCCTGGTGCTGTCTCCTGGGCACGTGGTTCAGCGTCCCTGGCAGAGTGAGAGCTCCTCACGGGCAAGGAGCCCAAGCCCGGGCACATGCTACATACGTGTTTGTCTAGCAAGAGCAGCCTGAGCCTGGCGTCTGTGCTGAGCGGATGTCCCAGACCTGCCCCTGGGCTCTCCCTGAACCTGAAAGTGCCCCGCAAGATGAACTGTCACAGCTCAAGGACCCGCAGGCCACAGACATGAGCCAGGCAGGGATGGGCTGTGAGGTGCTAAGGTGCACACCGCAGGGGAGGCAGGTGAAGCGGGGGGCCGTCAGGGGTGGCCAGGGATCCTGGGCATGCTGCACCCAGGCACAGGCGGGGTGGGCCTAAGAAAGCAGGGGAGCCCCTTCTTCTCAACCTGGAAATGCTTCTGGGAGGAGGCCGAGTAATGGAAAACCAATGGGAAGAGGGGGCCTGGCATATGACACTGCATTAGAGAGAACAAAGCCCGAAGTAACACACACTGATGGGGGCCCTCTGGGTGGGCACTGGCGTGAGACCTGGAGGGGATGCCCTGGGGCCGGGGAAGAATGATGTGGGAGAAGATGCGACTGCGGGATTGTTACACGTGGACCTGAACACTGTGTGTGCATCTTAATAGATTCCAAAAACAGGTCCCAAGGAAGAACATCAGTGGGTGCAGAGCAATGGGGACAGCCGGGTGGTTAGTACGATGCTGCCTCCCAGGAGGCTTGTTTGGACAGGACGTGGAGAAGGAGGGAGAGTTTGGGTTGTTTGGGCACTCTGGCTTGGATGGTGGTGAGACTTGACTTCCATGGGGAAGTGGGCTCAGCTCTGGTAGTGTGGACGTGGAGCCTCCTCAGCCACCACGAGGTCCCCCTTTCTGATGCCGGGGCCCTCTGCCCTGCTAGTCCTGGACACCT